ATATATATAATACACGTGGCCTCATTCCTCCTTATTATATCCAATAATGAATGTGCGTGCGCACGCGCACGTCGTATGGTGTAAGGTTATATGTGGTGCAACAGTTAGCCAGTGACCTAAGGAACATTCGCGGAGTCACCCCCATACTTCTTCGATGCAACACACGTGCAACTGGGCTATCGATCGCTATAGTAGGAGCAAAGTCTCCGGCGGTTAATGAAAATAACTATAGTAAAGTACACCTCGCGCTCGGCGTACACCGCTTAGAGCTTTTTTATGCGGCTGTACCGTTCGTCGAACCCCCGTAGACTTTGTGGAAGCAAGTATAATCTCTCTTCTCTTGTTATGTATATGAGACGTTATGTATATGCGATACGCCCTGATTGCAGGAAGGGAAAATATCTAAATTGCATATTAGTCGATTAATAAATTTAGCATTTTCTTTAACGCTTATAATGTCATTTTAAATTTAAGTTTCTATTAACGAGTTTTATTTATTTTAAAAATAATTAATTTACACTTAATTTGCATATTAATTTATCTATTTATAATTGATAATTCGAACGTGATAAATGTTTTATAAATATTAAATTTTGTATATTATGTAGCTGACTCTTTCTCTCTTTCTCTACGTCTTCGTGAATAACAGGGTCATTTGTTATTCGACAGCGCTCGTTTGATAGCGAATGAACGGGTCTTAACTTGCAGGATCGTGATAAGGGTGCAGCCCGTATACACTTAGGTGAGACTATAGAAGAGCTTAAGAAATTCAATGCGAGGCGAAAACTGAAGGATGCGGTAAAAGCAGCTGTCTCCTCGTCGAAGTGGCACGCTCCGTATTCAGAAGCTAATGGCGACAATTTCTCTGACGTCGGCGATGACGAGGTGATAACTACAGGTACATCGAAAGTGATCCCGGAATATTTCATCTCTGATACAAATATGGCAAAATACATGATAAAAATAAAACTGCTATTTTCGATGGATGTTCATTCCATAAGGAATACGAATACGAGAATTTACTTTACAAAATTTTAAATCGTATTTCAATTATTTAACTATCGATGGCATACAATATTAGAAATTAAAAAAAAGGAAATCACGAATGAAAAGTTTAATTGAAATTTCGATAAATTTCATACTCCATGTTTTCATTAAGAATTTAGAAGAACCTCTGTATACACTTAATTGTTTGCGATACTTTTATAACGATCAAAACAACAATAACATAATATAAGGCAATGTACGTGTTTTGCACTGATTATTTCAACAGTATAATCGATAATTGTGTAACTTGGAAATTCTCTGGATCATTTATATTTTCACGAATATTGCGTTAATGGATATAAATCAAGCAAATGAAAACGAACAAATACGAATGAATAACTGAATGCAAATGACATTGCGAGTATAATTTGCGAGTATTATTTACGTATATTTGTGCTTATTTGATCCGCATTCAGTTTAACAGATTATCTTATAAACATTGTATAAAAGATTGCAATTAGAACATAAATCATGAAACACACAATGATACTTTGTAAAATCAATATTTCACGTATTCTCATAGGCGCTGTAGCCGAAATTGTGGATTGCTTGGATGATATTGAGATCCTTGAGGAGAGTGATAGATTGTTGCGATCAGAAGTTCTTAATGCTGTGGATGATCATCGACTTCGAGCCATCTTAGAGGTATTTTAACGATTATTCGTAATTACTAAATCTTTTAAAAAAATATAAAAAGAGACGATTAAAGTTAAATTACAATGATAAGAAAATTTAAGAAAATCTAGATTTCAGTATTCAAACTTTTCGCTTACTGAAAAAAATTTCATTAATTATTTAAATGTTCTATAATTATTGCGAATTTATTGTTGAAATGTCCTTATGTTTCTCAGTGACTTTAAATATTTAATATTTAAAGTAATTTTAACCGGACAATACAAATATCCTTCAATTTCTGTCCAACATTTTTTTTATAATAAAAATTATTTTATTTATTTAAATTCTTTTATATAATTATATAGACAAGCATTTTATAATCGATTTTTTCTTGATATGTTAAATTATTTTTGCTATTTTCATCATTTATTTCCATCAGTAGTAAAATTTTTCACAATCAATTGCAAGTTACAAAGAAACGCATGTAGAGGGTAAAACAGAACAGGGTTGTTTCTTATCAAGGGTGGGTAACCATCGGGGTAACTCCTTCCAATGTTCGCACAATGTTTTGAACTCGTTTCAACTTTATCATAACTCGGATCAGCAACGATCTCGGAAGACAACTCCTTTTCACGCGGCCGAGTCCTGTCGCTTCAATGTTTGAGCTTCTGTACTGAGAGCTACATGTCATCGACTCCCTTCAGTGGTCCCCTCCGACCGTGAAGTAGGGATGGGCGATTTAAAAAAAAAATTCGATTTTTTTTTATCGATTTAGATCGGACATTTAAAAATCGGTTTCAAAAATTGACTGTTAAAGAATTGATCCATCAAAGATCGATCTTTTTATCTAATCTTTTTACAAAGGCTGTGTTTTGAAATTCATTGCCAGTACTGAAAATTTATAATATACGTAACCTGAACTACATGTATATATATATATATATATATTTGAATATAGACTTTAAAAATATATATAAAATGACACTTTGTATATATCATTAAGGTTTGCAATATAAGACAGTATT